ATTTCTGTAGTTTCTAAACAGTTTCTTTCTTTTTAGTTTTGGGTTGGTGTAGGAGGAGAATTTCATCCAAAAGTATTTTGTGACCTATTTCATATTGATAATATGTTAAAGCAGATAACTGGAAATCACCTCTATGCATGTGACCTGGGTGTTCTTTGCACCTTTTTTCAAAGAAATGTGTCATTTGTCCTATGTATTTCCTTCCAAATTTACATGGAATACTGTATATGCCTTCTTTTTTATTCTAGTAGGGATTCTTTCAGGTTAGGAAGTATGGTGTTGATTTCATGTGAAGGTTTGAATACAGCTCTTACATCAATGCTAAAATTATTAAATAAGCTAGTAATTTCATTGGCAACTTCTGGCACAAAAGGGTAATGAAACTAACTTGCTAATCTTATGTTGTTGATAGGTGACAGGTTAGAGTTAAAATATTTTTTTTTACTGTTTTGAAGTTTGATACAAGCCCTAGCTATGGTATTTCGGTTGAAACCTCTAGATAGTGTTATATTCTTAAGGTAGTTACATTCAATTAGTAAGCCTTCTTTGTGTATGAAAAGTTGTATAGTACAATTTATGTTGGTGAAGTTGGATGATATTTTTTGTGATAGGTGGTGATTAGATCTTGTATGTGGCAGCATGGTGATGGAATGGGGTTACCTGTATATACTGGCGGTAATTTTATTGTTTTATATTTTTACATTCACATCTAAAAAGGGGAGACACCTGTTATATTCTATTTCAAGTGCTAAAATTATTACATTAGATCTTAATAAGTTGAAGAATTCAATGAAATTAAGTAGCTTATCTTTCTTATGCAGCCATATACTGAAGGTATCATCTATGTATCTAAACCTGATTTCAGGTTTTTTGGTATGTGTTAATTTGTTTCCAAACAGTTCTTCTAGAGTGAACACTTAGAGGTCACTAAGTAGAGTAGAGAGGGAGGTTCCCATCCCTAATCTATAATTTTGTTTGTAAAACTAGCCTTTGTACATAAAATAAGGCTTGTTTAAGAAGTACTCTATGAGGTTGATAAGATATTTTGTTACAGGATTGTCTTCTAGTTTTTCTTTTAAACAGTGTAGGGCTTGTTCTGCAGGTATTGAGGTAAATGGAGATTTTATGTCAGAAGATACTAATATATCTTCTAAGTTTAATTTGCTTACCTATTGATATTAACTTGTGATCAGAGCAAGATTACCTACTGAGATCAAAACTAGAAATCAACCTGGTAATGAATATAGCAAATTAAATATACTATTCCTACATTCTTATAAAGATGTAGAATGCATTGTTTAATCAGTGAAGTGCCTTCAATGCTAACGATATTTGTGGCTGTAAACTTAATAATATTTTATGAGTTTCAGTCAGAGATTTTGGTTAGTCTTTAGTTTATATATTAAGCTAACAATGCAAAACAATTATAATAAACGTATCATAGTGAAAAATTAATGAAATTAGTTATATTAAATATTTTTATCAACACTGTTAATGAAATTAACATTAATAAAATAAAGTAGTGTACCTCACAGAACACACAAATGTTAGTTGTTAACTTTAAGTAATGTAAATGTAATTTTTGTTGGACAACATGACATTAGTAAGACTGTGTTTAAACAAAATATTCCACAGTCCTCCCTAAAAATGTCTTGTAACTAACAAAATCCCATTCAGTGGCTCTGACAGTGTAACTGTAAGATGAAGCTGATATCTGAGATAAATTGCTACAACATGTTATTCTATACTTGTAGAGCCAGTTGATAGGACAGTACTAGTAATACAGCCAAAAACTGTTTATGTAGATACAAAATAAGAAATTGAATAACTACTTGAATTTTTAGTTCTTAATTTCTGTAGTGCATATTGGTGTATAGAAGACATATATAGTACTAGAAATAAAAACAACCTTATAACACTAAAATGTTGTTTTTACTTAATTAGACACTCAACATTTTGCTTTGCAGTTTTTTCAGGAGCATTCACTTCTTTGTGTTTTAGTGAATGTACCTGAATTTTACAATAAATATTAATGAAATGAGATTACATTATGCATGAATTTTTAATTTCATTCTTCTGAGAAATTATTAAAAAGTTTTGTCTGGAGAAAGATGATGTTCATTTTGTACCTTAAAAGTAGATGGAGAATCATTGTCTTTCACCTATTTTAGTGTTTATATAAATATACATACATACATACATATAGGTGTATGTGTGCATTTTTTTTTATATTGTTTACACTTATTGTCACTGGTAGTCAGTGTAACTAATTAAATATTATATTTTTACTTTTTTACTTACAAAGATTAGAATCAAGTATTTCATCAATTTGGTACCCTTGCTGTTAATGATATTTTTGCCCATAATAATTTGTTCATTTGTATATGATAGGTATGTTGTATTGCTTTCTATATATACATATTATTGCATTGTAGTAATATATTTTGGATAAGGCACAGTTATATTGAATATAGATTAATTGAAGAATCGTGAGAGTTGTGTGAAATTCATCACTGTGTGAGTGGTGAAAGGTGACTATAAACAAATCAGTTATAGTTTGTGTCATTTTATTTTACATGCCTTTTATATATGAATCTAAAGCTTAATTATACTTTGTCATGTCTAAATTAGCTTAGTTTCATTGTTAACTTCAGTGAATGAAATGTTGCTTTATGCTGTGAGTAAAAACAGTGATAAACTTTACATGCATAAGCAATATTTCTATACTTAGGGATAAGTTGTAATTTTAATTGTATTACATGAATTGATTTTCTGATCAAATGTAGTTTAAGACAAAATTGTAAAATTAGCATAGGTTGCCATAAATTTATATATTTTGGGTATATCATTTTAATTTTTTGGGGGTTGAATCTACATATTATTTAGAAAATTTTTACTGATTTTGTGAACTATATTAAATTTTCTAACTTAAAAATTATGTACTGTTTGCTGAGAAAGTCTTACCATGTTCAAGTAATGATGTGTAGAAGTTTACTAAGTGATGTCAAGATTGGGTATGATGAGCTTGTGATATATTGGATTTTTTTAACACTAGGGGAAAAATAGTGATAATATTAAAATACTAGTGAATTAATTAGTTAGTTCAGTACTGTACATTTCTTGAGTATGTATAATAAATGGGGGAGAAAATTTAACAAGTATTTGCCTGTGAAGTTTTATTTGTGAGTTAGGCATGTCACTTATTTATTGTTAGTTCATGAAACACCAAAAATTGTAAAACTTTAAGTTAAGGAAATAAAATGCTTTCTCATTATTAAGTTTGCAATATTTTTACATAATAATAAAAAATATCATTCTATCCTGCCATGGAGGAAAAGTGCAATATTGAATTAAACAAATTATAGAAAATAAATAGTTGTTCTCCTATGCAGTTAAAACAGAACATCAGAATTGAGATTAATTCAATAAAAAAGTTATATTTATTCAATTTTATACAGAAAAGTAAGTGAAAAATGATTTTGGTTTGATTTTTCTACTCTCTGAATGAAATCATTAGTGTTTGTGAATAACACAAATTATTCCTGAGCACAGTAAGGAACAAATATCTTTTTAGAAGGAAAGGCATAACATTTTGGGGAAAAAACAAGTGATTTTATTGATATATAGCTAGTCACTGTTTCTCAGTGTTGATTGTCACAGTTTGATGTTATTGTCTGTATCTCAGCTTTGAGAAGTAATAGGCTACTTATCTAAGCATGTAATAAAAGCTTTGTTTTCTGTTTTTTTCAACTGTATAAGCAAATATGGCTTCCAGTTCAGCAAATAATTAGCGTAGAGATTGGAACAAACTGATTAAAGTTTACCTTGGTGATAGGTTGCTAGAAAAAATGTTTATGAACAAATACTTCACAGTTACACTCTTGACCTTTTTTTTTAAAACTTGTTGTATTATTTTGTATTTCGTTTGAAGTGTGATATTGCAGTACAATAGAAAATGTTTTTCATAGAATAAGATAAGGTAGTTTTAATTAAGTCATTTTGCACTAGACTAGATCAAGTTCCTTTTCACCAACAAGGTTGCTATGATAGGCTTTATTTTCATTAGGTCATATTTGTCTAACTAACAGCTTGAATGGACAAATAAAATAAAAAAAAAGAAACTAGAGCACCAAAACATATATACATGTATATGTATACACAAAAATTATATAAGTGCATGTCAAATGCATTTAAAGTTTATTACATATATTAAATGAAACGTTGTGTATAACACAAAAAAAAATTATTTGCTTATAATTTTGGTGTGGTAAAGAAATTTATTTTCATTGCATGGCGATGATTTGTAAACACAGTGAAACTGCATGCATTGTATCTTGATTCAAAACAAATAACAAATTTACAGTTTTTAACGTAAGAAATTGTACAGGAAATCTTCAAATGAATGTAGAAAGACATAAAAATTAGTAATTAAAATCTAAACATAGGTAAACATTTTAAATTTTGTTTCTGAAACATATCACAATAACAACTTAAAAAATTCAAAGATACAAATTCATATAAATATCAAATATTTCATTCAGATACACAGTGTAGTCTGTAGAAATTATAAATTATTCCTTACATTTTTCTTTCATTGTAAGAAAATAAACCGTAATGTTTTTCAGTTTATTAAAAAAAACTGCTTTGAAACTTGTGTTTAGAAATAAAGTTCGTTTTTTTTTGTTCTTAAGAATCTTCCATAAAAATGCTTATTTATCTCTGTACAGCAAAGAAGCTTTAGATTCTTGGAAAATATGAATGATATGCTTTGATTCTTTAATTGCCATAAAACTTAAATTTTATTGTTTTTATGAGTTTTTTACATTTTCTGTGATGTCCAGAATCTTAAGATTTCTTTCTCTACCCTTGTCTTTGAACTTTGTATTTTATAAATACTTTTCATTTTCAAAATATATCTTAACCTAAACACACCGTATAATTCTGCATGTCACAGATTTACCCAAAAAATACCATATTAGTGATACATAATTGTAAAAAGTAATTATATCAAAACTTTTTCCTTTGTATTTTTTAGCCATACCATATGACTGGTGCAAGTGATGTAAATTTGTTCTGTAATGGATACTATGCAGAGATACTTGTGATAAATGCTTTAACTTTGGAAGTCCTTTTCACTCTTTCATCTCGATTAAATCCAGACTGGATTAGTGCCATGTATGTCCTGAGACCTGTCAAAAGACAAGGTTAGTTTATCAATTTCTTTCATAAATATATTATGTATTATAATAGTATATATATATATAAATTTTTGTTATACCTACTAATGTGTTACAAGATTATACCATCTGTTGCTAATCTCACAGTTAATATGTACATTTTTCAAAATTTCTGAATATTCAATTAATTCTGTTTGAAATTGAAAGTTGCTCAGAGCAATTAAGCAATCTAACTTCTACTTATTCTAGCTGTGGATGGAATTTGGTTCACCATTCAGCAATTAATGATGTTCATTTGTAGGAAAGATAGTTTGTGTCATCTTGAGTTAGAAGGGTGTCTTTTCTATTGGCAAATTGGGTAATGGGCCAAGAATGTCTCACTCTTGCATTCAAATTACAGTGAATGAAAGTTATGGATGGCATGACTTTGTTGTTATTGTATTTTTTAGTTTAAAAAGTCAGGCTTTCCCTTGTAAGGTAAATTTTTTGACTTGCACATTTGGTGTGTTTAGTTTTTGTGAAGTTTACTTAGTATAGTTTTGAATTTCATTTAGATATCTATCAATTAATTTTAACAAAATTTTTTTGTTTCACTGTTTTTCATTTTTAATTTAACTTTCCTTTTTATTTCTTTCTTTTTAAGGATAAGGGGATGGATCACATGGGACTGGGGAGAGAGAATAAATAAAGGTTTTGTTTACATATCTCTCATTCATGCCAGTTCAACACAGTCATTATAAACACTTACCATTTATTTTGTTTCATTGTGTTGTCTTTGTAATTTGTTTGATTTTTGTAATAAAGACTTTAGTTTTGACACCTTCTTTTTGACAAACTCAGCATTTAGAAAGCTTCAAACCCTTCTCTGCAATATGATTAATCGTCAAACCTCTTGCTAGCAGGCCCTAATTGATGGCTTTGAGAAAAACCCTTGCACCAAAGTATACCACACTAGTATGATGTTGTATTACTGGGATGGGAAAATGTAGAATTTAGATGCTCAAAAGTGAGGAATGTCTTTTTGCTAACATATTTTCATGATAATTTTTTAAGTAAATATGTTTCACTCCACTCTCCAACATGTAAAAGATATTTTAATTTAACAGTGATATATATATTTATTTGTAAATACAAAAATTTGGAGAAAAGGTGATTTTGATGTTTAAGTGATATATTTAAGGTAATGCATTAAGATTAACTATTAATATGACTACTAACAACCAAGTGTGATATTTGATCAGGGGCATGCATAAGGTGGGCAGGTAGGGGACAAGCAGGGAACAGGTTCCTCAATAACTGTGCATATGGACTTAGTCACTTTGTTGAGTGTAATGCTATTTATATCTATGCAGTCAAATTGAAATTTTTGCACATGGCCCTCTTATTGATAATATGAAATAGGTATTGTTATAGGCATAACAAAATGGCTTTATACAATAAGTGCATAAAACAAATCGGAAAATTAAGTCCTTAGCAAATCATAAGGACAAAAAGGCAAAACGTACATAAGAATTTTTATGCAAAGCTAGATAGAATTATGTACCAGGTCAGCTTTTTCTGCATAAATGTGGGTGTGACAGGATGTAGATGGTAATTCTATATGTAGAATAACTTTATCCATTTATTCAAGTCTGTAACTTCTTAAGATGTTTGAAAGAACATTATAGACTTAATGGGAAATATTGATTTATGCAAATGATTTACTTATTCGATTCAATTTGAGTATGTGACTATGTATGCTTTTCTTAGAAGTCTAGCTTTTCTTAACATATAAGCTAGACTTTTACTTCTAAACATTTATCATGTTTATGATTATTTCACTCACGTGCACTTCAATAATATTGATACAGTAAACATGCATTATTTAAAAACTTGTGATTGTTTTTTTGTCATATTTTTCAAAAAGTTTAATGTATATTGGTTACTGAAATTATTCAATGTATATACATTACTTAAAAACTGCTCTTCTATTTAATCTTGGAGGGTTAAATGTAATCTCATTATTTTGTATCAAAAAGTGTAATTTTAAACTGGATTATTGCTGGATCTCAGTCTCATAAATCCTTTTTTTCCAACTATTTCCATTGAAATTCATAGATTATGTTAATTGCACGCAAGGTGAAGTAGAAAATGTTTTGAAATATAAGTCATCTCATTGGAAAAGAAGTAAAATAAAAAATCGGTTCCAATGAATAGTGGTACAGCCCTTTGATACCTATTATATAATGTAGTTTGAGAGGTACTGCAGTAATTCTTTGTTTTGGTCAGTCTGTCAATAACATTGTGAAGACAAGTCATAAATATGTGCAATATTATAAAAAGTATTAGGAATCAAATTTTCATGTAGGTGAAATAAATAGTATGTAGCATTTCATTAAAAGACAAATTGGAATTGAGCACTATTTTATAATCTCATTCATCTGTTTTGAATCTGTCCAGGAAGTTAATTGAACTTCATGGAAATGCAGAATAATGAAGGTGTAATATTTTAACTTTTATCATGTGAGGTTGATTACACCTTGAAATTTCTGCACTCACTTAATCTGATGACAAATAAAGAAGACACAAAGCAGCCCAAATATCCTGGCTAAATTGAGTACATCTAAATTTTGTGTTACACGTGACAAACAAAAAAAAAGTACAAATTAAGCTAAAAGAAGATTCAAACAACATCAGACTTCACCTACCATAATAGTTACAAAGAATGGTGCATCATGTGTCCCTTCACATGTTTGGTACCTCCAGAAGTAAGGCAGTATTCAGTAGCTCTTCTTTGGTTACACTCCTCAAGCTCAGATTTGTAAGGAGCTCTTGATGACATTCATGGATGAAGACACATGTTCTGCCTCAGCTGTTGAAACACTAAATATAAACATCTCCAACAACTCAAAATGTTAATGAGAGTGGAAGGTTTGTGGACAGCATGGTTGAGTATGCACTTTTAGTCCACTAAACTTCTTCACAGTTCCTGCCTTCTCCTCCTCAGTGAAAAGGACATCAAAATGGGCTTGGATTTATTCAATTTCAGATTTGTTATTCAAACTGAGCTCTTCTCTACTTTCTGGCTATTCTGTCAATTAGTTTACATGTTAAACTGGTTGCTGAGGGTCACTGACTAGACAGCTTGATCTCAGCTGAATAATCCCCAAACTTCCTTCCTTTTGGGTGATACATCTTTAGAAACTGTTGCATGTGTACACTTGAGTCATTCTTCAGTTCTACTAATCTTAAGACACACCCTTCCACTGCATGCTGGACATTTATCAGTAGTTGTTCATTAGACTGAAAGAATCCTGAAAGATGGATACTGGTTGTTTTAATGAAACTGACATTAGTGACTTCAACAAAAACCTTCCTTACCTTAGGTGCTGACTCATCACTGCCACTGCTAACTTGACTTAAATGCAAAACCACAACCTATAGATTTGCTGCATGACATTTATAACTCTTGCTTTGTACGAGACCCATCACACTTGTTTCACATCATTAAAGTGGGCAATATTTTCATCTATAATCCGTGCAACTTGTTTTTATATATCTTCTGTTTTTTAGACTATCCCGGTAGAATTTAAAAGTTCCTTCAAACTGAGCAAATTAATAAAAGGATTTCACTGCATCTAGAACTTCCAGTTGAATATCGTGAGTTACACAGTGGAAAGAGAGTAGAAATGGGATATCTTTTTTTTTTTTAGTAGTGCTGCAACACTACCTTTGGAACACATCATAATACTTGCACCATCAAAATTAACTGATATTATTGTTGGATCTAGTTTCTGGAAGACTTCACATCTGTAAGCTCCAAGGACAGCTTCTTAATTTCATTAACAACACCATCTAGGACACCTAATGCATACTTATGTTCCAGTTCCAGTGCAACAAGATCTACTAACACTTTATAGGGCTTTTCTACACTGACAATCCTACAACCATAGTTTCTTGTTCAATGATGACATTATCTATACTCCTGTAGGCTACAATATGAACCTTGATCCACTAAATGTATCTTTAACGTAAAATCTAAGGAATTCAAAGGCTTTCCTTCCATTGTTGTAATTGTATCCTACATCAACACCACCCTTCTCCATCGCCATACACAGGATTTCCATGTCTGGTAGAGATTTGCCTTGTTTAATAATTAAATAAGAATTGTTAACCTTCTTGCTTTGAGACTGGCTTTCCAGAAGAATTTAACATGGCCAAGTGTCCTTCCAGTGAGACTGAAACACTTTTTCTTTTATTTCCATCAGTTTTTGTGGCAGAAAGCTGACTGCTACTACTAGCAGTTGCATCATCATCACTGGTAGTTGGTTTTACAGGGTTCTTTTTCTTTTTTGCCACCTTTATCCTTTTTTTTTTCTCAATCCAAAGTTTAAAATACTCTGAGACATGATTTTCCCATTCCACTCAAGATTGAATTATAATGTTTTGGGCTCCACTTCTATACTGAACTTTCTAATTTCTTTTAGAATATGTGATTTATGTGTCCTGACTGGCTTAAAACAGTCACATGATGTTGAAAGAAATTGAATGAATTTTAAACAGCATTTTCTGAATAGTGATGTATGTGCAAACATTCTTTTTAATGCAATTCAGCAAGGAACAGAAAAAATTAAATGTCTTTGGTATAGTGCAACTTGAATGAAAGTCATTGTACTTTTCTGTTTATGTGCAAGTCTGTTTCTTTATGAAAGCTATATACTAATTAGATGTCAAACTAGTTATTTTGCTCATTTATTGATTGGATCATTTTGATATGAACACAGGACTATACTGTATTCCAATTTGACTTCCCTCTGTTTTTCTGTTCTTGATTTTATTTTGATTATGGAATTTGACATGCTAAAATATATATAAACATGACATTATGAACACAGTATTTGCCCCTTTTTATTTTTTGTTGTACAGATAGTGTGTGTGATTTATTTTTTACTGGTCAAATTATTTAGGTAAAACATTTACTTCAGAAACTGATGTGATGAAGTTTTTAAGGTGTGTATTAACACTGCATTATTTTATAGTGTAATTTA